ATTTGAATCTTGTTTTTATCTGTTTTTAAGTACATTTTTTAAGAAACTACTCGAATAAATAGAATGATTGGAGCCTTTATAAGGGCAATGTACAAAAAAATTGACAATGGCCACTTATTTAACCTGTCTGCAAACCTGCAGAAAGCATAAAACTGTAAAATAAACCTTAACTACCCAATCATCCATAGAAGGATTTATGAGCAAAGGCGACCATAAATAGCCTTCATCGTGATTAAATAAAAGTAAAGGACTTTAGGAAAAAAAAAGGTTAATTAGAAGGCTATAAGAAGAGGAAAAATCAAACAGTTATCAGTAAAGTATTATTTTTATCCCTTGATCTGTCTTGAATCCCAGATGGACTGCAGAAAAGAATTTATCCCTCCATAAAGGACCATCTAACCTTAAACCTTTGGTTTAGAGGACATTGCCACAAATCATCACCTCATCAGAAATTGTTTTGTTCTGCAGCCCACATCACAGTATTGTTCATGTTCCTGGAATGAGAATGAGAGTCCTTGGACTGAAAAGCTCCGTACCCAAACCCTCCTGGGTAACAATGCAAGCCACAGGGACATCATTAATTTATTTTCTCTCCTCATTTTTTGCCAATTTTAATTACTTTGAGACTAAGCTTTGTTGGAGATGCTTTCTCAAAAACAAGTGCTGTTAAGAAGAAAAATTTCCATCACTTGTTCCAAAGGTTTTTTCCTGATCTCTCTGACATCAGTAACTATTTAGCTGAATGCAGTATCAAACAACAATCAGTGTGGCACCAGCGTATATAATTAAGTGAGAGGGCTAGCAGTATCTCTGGTTTAGTGATTATGCATTTTGCTGTTATACATAAATGGAAATAGTTTTGTTGTCTTTTATAGCAACTAGCCACAGAGAAAATGAAAAAAGAAAACACAGATTTCAAATCATTATGGTGTTCATGTTGGAAAATAGCTAAATGGATCAGAAAATCATGATAATAATAATCTTGATGACTGGTAAACATAAAAGCACCGAGCAGATTGTTGCATGCTAGAGGTGAAACCAGGTGTCACTGGAGTCATTTTGGTGAGATAACTATCTGTCTGTTGTTACTCAGGGTTCAGAAGTGGATGAGCAGAAGCTGATAAAGTCCACCTCTCTGTTAGAGAGCCAACACCACCACCTGCTGCACTGTTTGGAGAAAACCACAGTGAGAACACCTCCCTGTTTTACATTAAACACTCAAACTCCAGGGTTTACACATGCACTAATCTCTCTTGCTCAGTAACAGGTTATTAAGTAATTAAACTGGAAGTACATATTCATTATAAAAGGTCCATGAGGCACTTCAGGCAGTTCAGCAGCACTGCAGACTTTCCTCTCTCTGACAGGTGATGAACAGCTTTTGTTCCTTTAATGTTGCCTTATTGGAAGTGTTGACACTGACTGACGCTGATCTAAAAACAGGCTTGAGGGAGTTTTGCTGCAGTTAGAGACGTCTATCAATTTGACAAAACGTTTAACCCACTCACTGAATCTGAGCGTCAGTCAGAGGCAGGAAGAAAGAGTTGGCAGAAGTACCTTAAAATGTTTACATGACAGTTTGACAGTTAACATGAGATGCGCTGCGGCTGTCGGAGGAGAGGGAATTTCTGCTGTGCATTTGTGTGTAAACAATGTCATGCATGTTATCAGAGGTTGGCAAAGCAACTAAAAAGGTGTTTTATTTTGGTATTTCTCCAGCCTTATGGTGGACTGGTGAATTACACTCATGTAGATGGACCTGCATATTGTGAGTGGTAGTAATGTGAGCCCTCTCACAGTTCAACCTGTATAGAGTAAATGACAGAGAATAACTCTCAGGTCCTGGTTTTGTATTATATGGCTGTTTAAATATGCTATAGAGGTGTTATAATATATTATATATCATAAGATTTACCTCCTAACTTGATTAAAAATGCTCAAAACTACTAGAGTATAAACTGCATTTATTACTTTCATAAATTATATTGCAAAAACTTTACACCATATATAAAAAACTGCCTACAAAAATCATTTTAAGAGTGAAACAATGACTTACACAGGAGGTCGCTAAATCTAATCTGCAACATTTATGGTCAGTGTTTAAATCCTCAACAGGGAACAAAAAAAAAAAAAAAAAAACAGAGGAAAAAAGATAGCTTCAAGGAAAAAACTGATAACCAAAAAGAACAAAAAGGCTTAAGTCTTGGATCCCAGAACCTTTGAAAAAAATGTTGTTTTGGAGACAAAAGGCAACTTTTTTTATGGAGTTCTACCTATTACATTAGGTGCAAAAGTTAACAAGTATTTTAGTAAAGCATCTTACTGAGAGTCAATAGTGTGGTTTTCTAAGGCTGCAATTCCTTTTTAGAATGTCATAATTTGCAGAACCATTAATTCTGCGCTCTAGTAAAAAGCGCTGCAGGACTATATATAGACATGAGTTTGTGACCCTAACCTTAAGCAAATAACAAATACACTTCTGCATGGAGAACAAACTAACTAAAAGCAGGTTTGGTATGACCTATTCCAGGTTTAGAATCGAAAATTAACTGAGATGGTTTGGTATTCAAGCAAAGCAGTTGAAAAATGGGACTAAATTAAAACATAAAGTAGGTCCTAATCCACACAAGTGTAAAACACTGCTAGTTAATGTAAACACTTTATGGCAGTTGTTGATTAATTATCCAAAACTATAAAAATCTGAGATTTTTAAGGGGGCAAAAACCTTTTTTTAAAGCACTGCTTGTTTAACGGGCCCTATAATAAGATATAAAAACCATTTTAATTTGAAAATAAATTAAATGTAACTTTTTTGTGTTCTCTTCAGGCTCATGAGTTTGTGGACGAGCAGGTATACGAGCAGAACTGTATGAAAGCAGCATTGCAGACCTATCCATCACAGAGTCCCTCAATAGCCAGCCACGACAGTCCTGCAGTGACCTGCTGCGGCACGAGAGGGAAGAAAAATAGTCCTCTGCCAAACACTAGCCTCCCCCCCACAAACCCGGTCCCATCACAACGAGGCCCGCCGCAGGAGCTCAGCGCCCTTCACATACAGGGCGGTGACCCACTGGCACAGACAAGCAGGTGAAATTCAGAAATAAAAAAGTGTCAATAAAGTATGAGGATGTTGAATCAACTGTGCTAATTTCATTTTTAAAGGTTTATTTTATAAATTTGGCAGCATTTACCGTATCTGATATTTTAAGTTTTATGTGCTAATAAATTCCCTACATTGTTAAACTCCTGAACACAATATACTGTTAGAAAGCTCTGAATTTTAAAGTCTGTAGTTTATCTATTTTAAAATTATTACAGATCGTATGTCTTACTCTTTCTTTATTGTGTACATTGACTTCTGTTGACGAGATTTAAAATTCCAGAAATGGTAAAGGGAAAATCTACACTGATTAACCAAAACAATTATAATCTTTACCCAAATAATGAAAAGGTGCAATAGCAAAACAAACCCCTGGATGGCACTATTTAGTGAATCACAACACAATCCTACTGACTGATGCTTCTTAAAGGTGTAGTGGAGGATTTTCTCAAATTTTTGAGAAGACTCCACCTAAAAAAAAAAAAACACATTCACAGCGCTGTATCCTCCTGAGAGACAACACCTATGAAATGCTTCTGAGAGCATGCACAAGCCCATTTCTCCTCGTGGAGGAGTGGAGACGCAATGAATCCCGCCTACACTGAAAACAACTCACAAGATTTACTTAAAAAATATATTGTAAGTATTTGAATTTAAATGATCTAAGTAAAATTGAATGCTTCAATATCAAGTAACACTCACTTGCCAGTATCAAGTGAATTTTACTCTCATAGGACATAACAGTTATGAACAGATTGAGTAACATTTACTTAAGTACATCCAAGTTGTAAGTTAGATTTATTTAAACTGGTTAAATAAAGTGTACTTGTTTTTCGTAGCAGCATTTTACTCAAAAATATAAGGCAACACAGAGACAAACAACAATTCATGCACGCATTCACACCTAAGGAGAAACCAGTTAAACTAACAATCATGTGCTCTACATTTTTAGAGTAAAGTTTCTGAAGTATTTTTAGGTTTAAGTACGTACTGCTATTAAATATTCAAATAGTATAAGAAAATCTAAGTAAAACTTACTCTTTCCCCAAATTGGTATTGTTTCTCTGTTCTGAGGCCTTTCTCACTACGCATACACTTTGTAGACACTTTCCTCTTTTGACCCTCAGCCATTTTCAAAGAACCGTGGTGAGAAAGGCAAGCTTCAGTGACTGTCTGAAACCGTAGCTCACCACAGATATAAAGAGCATATGCCTGAAGATAGCTACCTATGGGGATGAGCACCTATGACGGCCTTACGTAAACATATCACCAGAATGATTGTCAATTAAGAGGACCACTTATTTTGATGATCCACCTGGAAAAAGAACATTTTCGACTATACCTTTAAGGATCAGAAAAGTAGTTTATATTAAATAAACTTGAAGTGTGTACTGTATGGTGCTGTGTTATTAAAGCTAATTATTTTGACCCAAGGGATGGGTTTGATTTAATTAACTGTTGAGAAATTAAATCACAAGCATACTAATTGTGATTTATATGTTGTTTTTTCAGATGTAATATTTTTTGGCAAATATATTGCATTTACACTAAAGTAAAACAGAAAACACTAACAGCTTTTGGAGCTGAAATCTCAGGCAATCATTAATCATCTCTTTTTTCTTCTCCTCTGAAAGTCGTTCAAACCTCAACTTGAGAACTAATGAGAGCAACAGGATCAACTGTAAAAGTGGCCGAATCACCACAGCCATCATCAGCCTCCCTACGCCCCCCGCTTTAACCCCTGATGCCGATGGCCTCCACGGGCCGCCGCAAAGAAGGCCGCCCCCTCCTCTGGGTCACCCAGCAGCTCCAAGCATTCAGACCACAACAAGCTCAGCTGGTACCAACATTGTCAAAGTCTCAGCTTTGTGATTCCCAGCCGGGCTGCTTTAACTTTACTCAGCAGGAGGCAGAGAAGGGACCGAGGGGGTAAAGCAACAGTTATTCTTGCTGAATGCACTGCGTCCCCTGCTCACAGTGTCGGCAATCACAGAGCAAAACTTCAGAATTATGGAGACATCACTCGTGAACTTTAGAGATTTGAACTGAGAATGTCACACTTGTCATTTTGTGTAATTACTGTAGATATGAAGAGACTTGCTGCATTTCTTATAGTTTCTAAAAGCAGACGTCTTGCAGGTAAAAAGAAGAAAAAAAAAAGTGCAGTAAGAGTCACGACAAAGGCTGACAATACGTCACAAACAGTAAGGTTAAAATGAACTTATTACAATATTTGTTGGCTTTGAATATTAAAGACAGATAAAGATGTTTAAAGTGTTTACTGTAATTTTATTGCTCTCGTTTGTGCTTTGTCTCGTTGTGTTGAAGTACTTTTTGGCTCAAAGATATATTTTACACCGCCTGTATTCTTTTAACCCATTTTTCCCAAAACTGTTGACTATTAAAACAGTGATTTTGTGTTGGTAAAAGCTTGAATCTAACCATGTTAATCATCCAAGTTTAAAGGTCTTACTAAACTCTAAATACTTTATATTAAATGAAGCAAAGAAGTGAGCTTTAGATTTACAGACATGTCTGCTACAGTAAACAGTACTGAGGAAGTGTTTGCTCCTTAGATTTCTTCTATTTTTGCTATTTCAGACACTTTTATCAAAGATAAAAGTTAATATGAAAAGTAATTGCCTTCTAAATCTAATTACTTTTTGTCCCAGCTTTTGCAGCAACAGCTGTCATCAAAAAATGAGTCCCTCACATTGCTGGGAGAAACTTTGGTCTGTGATATTGCATTTTAGTCAGACTGTAGTATTCAACGATGTAGGATTCAAGTGGAAGCCAAACAGTTACCTTCACTTTAGCTGTTGTTCTGGGCTCTTTTGTGACCAGTTGCATTGTACTCTCTAAATAATGTTTTGGAAATCTGGGTATGATTTTTGTTTCCTAAGATCGTTTCTCCTACTTCATGTTGTCCAATAGGTTCTATCAACATGATCTTTTGCTTCCACAGGTCTGGCAGTAATCAGGCATAGGTGTGTAGCTTGTAAAAACTGAATTTAGTTTACAAAAATTGGGTTTATCACTGTCAAGTAATTATTTAAAGAAAGTCAGGAGTTTTTCCTTCATCACAGGGTCAGGTTATTTTGGGTCGATACTTTGATAAATGAATCGTGATTTTTCAAAATGCACTCAGGGTATCTGAGTAGATGTCAAAATCTGCGGTTTTAAAGTATAAAGTATAAAAATAAAATAAGATTGACAAAGTCCCTAAAGTGGGAAATGATTGTTTCTTGACTGTGTAGTTATTTTTTGTAATGTTTTATAAATTTTTAACAAAAGCATTGAAGTGAATATTGGCTTGAAATATTTCAAAGATTCAAAAAACAATGTATGCACTTATAATATATGTTACTGATCATCAGCTCTGATGCTTGAGGTTTTTTAAGTGATTGGTTGTGGTTGTTGATCTTGTTTCTACCTTTGAATGATACTTCAATGATACTTCGTTAGCCGATATATTTCTAAAATGTAAGGTCATATAATCTGATAATAATTGGGGGGAAACCTGACTTAAAAGTTTATGTTAAACTTTTTTAAACCTCTTTTGGTACCTTTAGTGTCCAATCAGGGTCAAACAATGTTCCTTTTGAATTCTGTATAATTCTTTACAATGCATTAAAACAAGCAATTCTATGTTCAAAGTATGTGATTACTGCAGGCGAGAAGAATGAAAAAAATTATAATTTGACCAGCCGAAAGATTTTTGTTGCTTTTGCAGTGACACAAATGATACAATTTGTGATTTCAGCATTTTTACCATGTTTCTAGATGATCTGACAAACAACTAAACATATTTCATAGGTTGTAAGAGTCATTATTCATGGAAGTTTTTACTTCAGCTGCTTCTGCCATACATGATGTCTGCTACTGGTCAAAGTTCTGACTAATGATGACCCATTTTTGTCTAATGAATGATTAAATTATATCATATTCCTTCTTGAAATCCAACTTATTGTGTTCTGGGGGTTGTGCTTCACCCTCCTGAAAAAAACACCATGATGTGCATTGATGACATGAAGCTACAGTCTGAACTTAACCTTTGTCTTTGAAAGAAGAGGCAAATTTTTCTGCTTTACTGTGTGTGCAGATGCACCACGCACCACCACCTCCATTGCCATTCTGGTGGCAACACCTTTTTGTTACATACCTCCCAAGAGGAGATGATTCTGGTGCTTGCTGAACTCTCAAGGAATAAGAACAACATGTCACCCACCATAGTTTAGGGTAGCCTGCTGTTTCTTGGACAGGAACTATTATGGACGCAGAAAAACAATTGTTTTAGGCACTCATCTAATCCAATTCTGCTGCAACCAACCTCCTAATAAGATAGATCTGGAATTTAAGCTCTTCCCTATATTCTTAGACTTAGACAAACGTTATTGTTATCTTGTATGCACAGTATACAAAACGACATTCCGTTGCATACGGCTTGTAACAGTTAAACAGTGAAAAAAACAATACCATTCATAAAGTAATGTTCATTTCATATTCAAATATGCAACCACTATAAGTTTTGAAATGATCATTTTATATAAGGGTAAAAAAATTTTTTTTTTGTAGTAAGGTGGACACTATTACTATTGCTGAATGATCAGTGAATCATTGTAAACATACCAAAAGGTTTGTGTCACCGCAAGAACTTTTAACAGCAAATGCTGTGTTTTTAGTCCAGTTTCCTGGTCTATTAAACCTAGGACAGATTTATATCTACCAAAGCAAGTGAACTGCTAAAACAATAAACAAATGAATCTCAAAGAAGAATGAACTGTGAACAAGAAAGATTAAATGCAAATAAACTCCCTGCTTTTGCCAAGTTTTCTTTCATTTCATTTTGTTAAGCAACATCAAGGAGTTCTCAAAGGGCAGCAGATTAGACATAATTTTAGTTATGCTGTAGAAAATGTATAAACGACCGCAGAAAGAAGGACATTTAAAAGATAACAAGTGAGTAAAGACTCAAAATGTGCCATGATTTATGTCACAGATGTTTTTGACAGATGGCAGTATTGAAACAAAGAAAAAGATGGAAAACTCATGAATTTTGATCTGTTCATTTTGTCAACTGCACAAAAATTATCTTTTGAGCTTTTTTTTTTCAGCTAATTTGTGAGTATTTGCCAAGTGTGATGTAGTTATTTGTTTCAAACTGTGTTGATAATTTCTGTTTGTGTGCTTGGTTTGCAGTAGCAAATTCTGCTTGAATTTTTTAATGTCTTGAATCAATCATCAAGTGGAGGTGTTTTTGCTGTGTCGGTGTATTCTATGTTTCTTTTCTGTGTTTTGCCATATCATAGATAAAACTTGTGCCAAAATGGAAATTTTTTCCAGTTTCTGTGAAAAGCTCAAAGTTCTTCTGCCACTTTAAAGAATATGAAAATTTTTTTTTTTTTTTTTTTTGACACTGTTGATTTAGTTGGTTGAGTTATACTTGTTATGGCTCAGTTACAGCTGGAACAGTATTTTTACATTAATGCTTTTTCAAACATCCTGCACCACCCTCTGCAGCAGAAGGTGTTGTCCTCATGCTAAAGTGACCGATGATATCCATCCTTTTCTGAAAGATTAACCTTCAAAAGCATCATTTGGGTCACTTTTTAAAAGCCTTGGCATTCCTGTTTGTGCTTTTTCTTATAATTTTATCCTTTCAAATCTTAACTTTTCTGTCTGTTCAATGTGATAACAAGATTGTGTCTGTTTGTTATAACAGCTATAAAGTGCCAGAGAAAAATTAAATCTGTCACAAAAATCAAACCTCATCCTTCTTCCCTTGTCAGATTTTTTCTGTCACTCACAAAGCTGCACATATTTTAGATATATTTCAGTTCTCCATTCCATCTAAATAAAAGGAACACATTGGTTGTGTCCTATATATAAAAAACAAAGAACAAAACAGAAAGGGAGTTTTTTTTATCTCCACTGTCGCTACCAGCGTGCATGGTTTGAGGGACTGCCTTCGAGTCAATGAGTCGATGCAATCAACTGGTTCTCCTTAAAAAAAACTTTGAATTAATCCAACTATATGATCTGGTTGAATTGTCTTTGAAAAGTGCCTTGGCATGACATATGTTGTGAAATGGCGCTTTATAAATAAACTTAATTGAATTGAATTGAAATTATAATCATTGTAGTAAATGTATGTCTCCTTTGAGTTTTGCTCAAATAAATTAAAAGAAAATTGGCAACTTACAGAGTAAATCCAATCAAATCCTCCCCACAGATGAGTTAAAGCCTTACTGTCTAGAACTTAGCAGACTGCATTGAGTCTTTGACTTGCAGAACTCTTGTTTTCAGGCCAAGCGCACAACAGAGCAAATGCACTAAGTTGCAATAAAATCTCAGCCAATAGTACATGTAAGAGAGAAATAGGACTAAGCCCTGAAGAACAGCTTTAACCGTATCATCTAACACATGATGTTAACAGCAGCAGCTCAGCTGATGAGCTACTGCAAAAAAATAGAATGCAGCAGAGTGAGGGAAAGCAGTTTCTATGCCCCCCTGCCACCTAAGCCTTTATAGTCATTTATCTATGAAACCTGAGCCACTCTTAAGTAGTAGCTTCATAAAATAAAATTAGAGTTTTAAGCCTAGTCTTAAAAGTAGACTGGGTGTCTGCATTATGGATTGGGTTCCACGGGAAAGGAGCCTGAAAAACTAAAGGATCTGTCTCTCGCTCTTGGAGCCATCAGTACACATGCAGTTTGGGAGCAAAGGGCTAAACATGGAGAATGAGCAGATCTCTCTCTGATATATGAAGCTTACCTATCAAGGGCTTTGTCTGTGAAAAATATTTTTTTTATCACAGATTTAACAGAAAACCAAAAAACAAAGGTGTGAAACTTTTTTTTTTAGATTCATCGGCTAAGCATTGACGAGAGAAACCCCTAACAATGAATCATTAGTAATATATGTTTTAATACTTTTCAAAATAGGCTAAAAATACCTTTAATCAGTAATCTAATCCATAAAATCCCATATCCTTTGAATACAAATATGATATGATGGACTAATTATTTCGATAGGGAACATGAGGTAAGATGTGTTGATTGTGATGAACTGGGACTTGTCATTAAAGAGAGTTGTGGCATAGTGGTTAGAGAAGGAAATTTGGATCCTAGAAAGGCTACAAGTTCCTTGAATCCTACAGAGTTTCTCTGTTAGACCCTGAGCAGGATATTTATCAGCAGCTAGCAAACTAAGCAGAAGCCCATTTAAGGATGTTTTGAATACAGTGGACAAATTTCATTACCATGTTTAAAAGTTGCAATGACAAATATAACAAAAATGATTATTAATATTAGTTGTAGTTTTTTGGGTTTTTTGGGGGGTCTTTTTACATCTTCATCAGAGAGGCAAATAAAGTTTGCCTGCATGATGACAATCATTCTCCAAAAAAAGAGTTGATGAACAAACAAACACTAGAGAAATATAAATGGATATATTCAAACCTGGTCAAATGTGACCTAAGTCTTTGACACGTTATCTTTCTGAAATACCTCTTTCATCTGTTAAACCAGGTGTTTGGCTGTCAGCTTTCTCAACCACATGTGCAATGCCAATGATCACCTACGGTTTAAAACCCTTCATTAGTGGCCATCTGACTGACATCATCTTGTGCAGGAGGAGATGACTCAAACAGTGAAACTTAGTCAGCTGAGAGGCAAGCACGCACACATCTGGCTGCTTTAGACAGACAGACAGACAGACAGACAGACAGACAGACAGACAGACAGACAGACAGGCTGTTCATTCCAGGAAAACTGTAAAATACATGTTTTTGTGCATTCTGTAATGGGCAAAATACACCTCTAGATGGCAGCACAATAACAAAAAGAACCATACACACTGTGGACATTCCTAGGGTTGACCTTTATCTTAGTCAGTTATCTCATTCACACCTCAATACCCTTAAATACTGCATAAAAATTCAGAAAAAAAAATTAAAATAAATAACAACCACCTGTCTGTTTCAAACAATATGCCTGATACTTATGTAGAATTCAACTGTAGAAAAAACAGTCAGCTCTCAAGGCCAAAAAAACAAACAAACCTTTTTTCTTACTGGGATAATGAATTCTTAAAAAGTGGGCCCTATGATGCAGTGTGGTTTTATCCCTGGATAAGAAGTCAGATTCATAAAAGCATAACTTCACAGATGGATGATAAATTATATTTTACCAGTTTTTTCTTCTGAATATTTTAAGAATATCTCTAAACAATTAATCAAAACCTCAAATTTACGTCTTTATTTTATTTTTTTATTCTCCATTACATAAATGTTGATGGATAGTGTGCATTTCTACCAGTTATCGTACCAGCTGGTAACCATTACATCATCATACTTAATAATAATGTTCAAAATATGATCATGAATCATCCTGTTCAGTTATTCAAAAGGGAAAAATTAACGAAATAGAAAAGAAAAACAAGCTGCATGTGTTGCGTTTAAGCCCATGTTCATTGGCATATGGCTGTTATTTTACATGCTGATGTAAAGTTTTAGCTCTCAGTACAGTATATTAACATTCAAATTAGATATTTTGGTTATTTTTGCTAAATGCATTATAATTAAAGTGAATACCAATTAAAATATTTCACATGAGTTCATAATTAAAACAGTAGTCTTGGGTTTTAAACTTCTTTCTTTTAATTTTGCATCAGCAGAGATATTTGTGTTTGTTTACAACAAAATGCACAGGATGTGAGAGGCTGTACAAAGGTACGGTATCTATGCCTTAAAGAATACAGTTTCACCAGCAATATAATAGTTTCACTGCAAACCATAATTATTCTCTGTCTTTTCTTAATCCAGTTTTGGCCTGAACACAAAATCTAACTCTGGGTGAGTCACATCAAGGATTATAAAGTCATCTCTAGTCAGACAGTTTCTGTTGCTGGTCCCTGCTCTGCTTTGGTGTTAGTGCTGAGTGATCTGAGGAGCTGTTCCCTTACAGGGCGGTACTCATGCTGACAGCTGGAGGAAGTATGGAGGGATGTGGATAAGAAACAGCTGCAGGTTAGGTCACACTGAGGCTGAATCTATTCTGTGAATCATAGAGAACCCTGTCTGTAGAAACCCATGTGTCATCGCCTCAGCTTTGACTTACAGAAAACACAAACTTTACCTTATTTTTTTATGGCGTAAACTGAGGACGTTTGTACCTTTAATCATTTATTTGGACTAGTCTGAACTTTTGATGCCAGTCAAATCTATTTATTGAGAGTTTTATACTATAAACAGCATGTTGTGGTAGTTTACCCAAAAAGAGCGCTCAACAAAAAATCAAAGGCACTTCAAATTTCTGTAAAGTTCCACAGACAGAAGTTAAATATTTGAGCACAATTATGGTTTAGGACCTCTGCTTAAACAAACACCTTTCATTGTTCAGTCCACTCTTTTATTTAGTTCAGTCAAATGAGTTTGCTTTCACCGCTCGGTAAGGAAATGAGGAAATCAGTTGTTCAAAGGAAAGTTTTGAATCTAAAAAGATTGTATCTTATTCATGCTGTAAACATTGTTAATGTATTTCCTGTAATATTTCCTGAATAATTTGGGTTTAAAGTTAAACAAAAAATTAAGGTGGGGAAAAAGTGTATCCAGTTTCTGGAAAAGGAGCTTTGCTGCAGTTTTGCAGTAAATATGTCTCAGTATGTTCACACGGTCCCTTCCTTTTCATTTAAATGTTGCACAACCTTTACTCTAAATTTACTTTAATATCTCTTGAGGAGTCCTCCTTGTTTCCCTGGCATCTCTGAAAAACATAGTCATATTCGTTGCTAACAATCTAGAAATGTGCTTCTATCATAAGTTTTTCTGTTTTATTTTAATCCTTTCAAGTGAATAATTATTAAGAGAGAGAGAATTATTAAGAATTATTAAGAAGACAACTGTTATTTTGTCTGCTTAGATGAGAAGAAAACAAAATGAGCGGGGTTTCATTTAGTGCAAGATGTCACTTGGAAGACCTTTAGAGGTTTATGCAGGTCAACAGACTCAAAATCTGTTAAAAGTCTCCCTAAGAAGTGGGTTGAGCTCAGCTGATTTATTCTTTCCCCATCTGCACAACAAGATACAGGATCTCTCCATCATTGTGTCCATCTGGAACACATCTGGAATAGGGAGATGGATTTTAAAACTTCCAGATGACAAAAAGCAGTTCCTGAGAGTCCAAGTATTTGATCACCAAAGGTACAGTATCACTCGTCATGATGTGCTTCATCTTTACCGGTGACAACAAATACAACTCTGTGCTTTAGGGGCTAAAATAATGAACACATCAATAAGCATGGAGCTACATCTGAATTATTAGATAAACTATGAAATTAGAAGATTAGCGAGAGTAAGAGTAATTGGCAGACAAATGTAAAAGACACACAATCATCAAGTTCTTCCTTTACAAAATAGGTCAAGATTAGTTATATTAGATGAAAACTGCCTGTGAAGACCAACTTCCAATTGTTTTTAACACAATTTCAATTGGATTTAGGTTTGGACTTTGACTGGGTTTTGCTTAAACATAAGTGCACTTTGATATTTGTTTGATATTATTATTCTGGTAGAATGGGACTCTGTTCATCGGTTCACCTCTAACAGGTTTTCTTTGAGAGTTGTCCTACATTTAGCTCCAACTGCATCCAATAAGATTTAACCTACCTCTCTGTCCTTGCTGAAGATAAGCATATCCACTGTCTGATACAAAAAAAACATCCTTTATCATACAAATGTTTTATCCTGGATGATAAATATGATTTTCTGCCAGACAAAGAATTTCACAAAATAAATACATTCAATGGTGTTTAGATCAAACAAGGGCAATTTCTTCAACATGTATTTTGTGTCCCTGTATGAAACGTACAAACTATAAATGGGATTTCTAATGGTTTTCTTTCCAAAAATACCTGAGTACAAAAGAGAAAAGAAACTTACAAAGTGCATTACAAATAGCTTCAAGGTGATCATATTCTTCCACCTGAGTTAAAGATCTCTGTCACTCCTCCAGAGTTACCCCTGGCCTATTTAAAATGTCTTTGATTAATGGTCTTCTAGCTCAACTTAGTGGTCTTCTAGCCCAACACTTTTGGTTGTCACGATTCTGCCCTTTATGGGCTTTTTGGTCCTGTTTAAGTTGTCTTTTTGAGTCTACAGTTACAATTTATTTATGCCATTCTGTGTTTTCTAGATAATTGGTTTAATTTCCATTTTGTGTCATTCTAGTTGTTTCCTGCTTTTATATGAGTTCTTATGTATTCTTGTTTAGTCTCTGTTGCCCCCTTGTGCCAGTCTCCTTTCCCCTAGCTCCCTTCTAGATCCTTCTGTCCACACCTGCTCCCAATCAGGTAATTACTCCTTTCTTTGTTCTGTTTGGCATATATACTCCTCCTCTGCAGTTACTGATTGTTGGATTATCTTCATTCCCTCTCTAACGGGGTCCCCTTTTGTTCGGGTTCCTGTGTTCCTTATTTAGGTATTTCTGGATTTATGCTTCTGTTGCCACCACTCATTATTATGCATCTGCATTTGGGTACAAACCTACATGCAACCTGACATTGGAGGGTTGCGGTGGAATTAAACCTTCTTTCAAATTTCTAATAAATAACTCAACAGTACTTGGGATCTATAATGAGAATGAAATTGAAATCTGTCAGCTGGTTGGCCAGTTTGATGCATTTATTTTTACACTTGTGTTGATCTAGCCACGTAAAATCAGAATATATGTAGTTCAATTTAGTTTAAATAGTGCCAATTTCACACACAGGTCATCTCAAGGCAATTCAGAGATAATATATCCAGATTGGTTAACATTTTTTATCAAGCAAAACCATAGGATTGAATGGAGTCATTGACTTGTAAGATATGCTCCTCCTGGATGAACTGGCGGTGAATCTCACACTCTGAGCATGCATGCAGAGACAATGGATAGGAAAACTCTCTTTTAACAGGAAGAAACCTCCAGCAGAATCAGGCTTAGTGTAAGAAGCCATCTGACGAGGAAAGGAAACAAGCAGACATAAAAAAGAAGCAAAGACACAAAGCTGTATAGCTACATGGGTGGCGGCATCAGGAAAGACATGAAATACATGAAAGAAAGCACACACATTTAGTCACAGTATGAGAAACAGGGCTACACTCCAAAAATAGTTCCAGCTCTGGCATCTATAAGCAAATGTGTTGATGGCAATACCCCAACTGCTATTTCTATCCTGGATGGAGGCACAAACAAACAGTGATAGACCAGATGGAGTTATTATGAAAAGAAAAAGCAGACCGAACATGTGAAAGTAAAAGGTTAAATGGCAGAATAGAGATGTAATGATGCTGAATGATAGAAAGTGGTCCCTTTGTCCTCAATCATCCTCAGCCTATAGCAGCACAAATTTAGAGATGGTTCATTAACACAACACAGTTTGAAAGTGGCTTTGAACAGTTTGAATGGAACTCTATTTTACCTGGCCAGATTATTTTGGTGAAACACATTTCCCAGAATAAACCTGACATGCCAGTTTCTCTGATCTTCCTTGGGGCATTTATTGTAATAGGACTATTGTGATTTCTCCACTGTCTGAGGGAAGATAAACACCTTTCAGATTGCAGGATGTTGAATCTGAGGCAGTGAGACAAAAGCTCCTGGATCAGGTGTTTCCCTAAGCCTCTGCAGAGATGGTGGCCAGGAAACTATCCCTATAGTCCCCTTCTATGCCAAAGATATTCTTGCAACATCCTCTTTTATTTTCCTCCAACAACAGTCAGCGAAATGAGTAAAAATATAATTACAGGATATATTACACTTTTTAAAATATTTTATTTAAATATTTAAAAAAGATTTTGGTATTCATCTTTAAAGCTCCTTTAAATCTTTATAAGCCCCAGCGGATCATGCAGATTGCTCATGATAAATGATGGATTTCTGCTATATCCTGGTTTGAATGAGATTCGCTCGGCGCTTATTGGCGGAAACTGGATGGGTAACGTAAGCGGCTGTCTTGAATGGTAAAATATTAGAGGAGGAGGTGGAGGAACAGAAACAGGAGAGAAGCCATCAGTTGTACAGCAGCACAGAGAGAGGGGACCATCAGACCTAAAACACGGACGGACCTCATTATCATTTTTTGGAGTAAACATATTTTCGTCATCAGCAGCCACCGCGTCATTACGCGCATTCCTCCGGAGGATTTGCGCTTTTTATTCTCCAGACTGTCCGCTGATTAAAAAAATAATAGCATATCCTGCACCAGAGAAACAGGTTCACAGTGGTGTCATGGTGAAATATTTTATCTGAAATTAATTAGTTTTTGTTTAAGTCAAATGGAAGAACAGATGTCCAAACCGGAATCCAGAAATATGGACGCGTGTCTGAGGAGACTGAAGCAAGAACTGGTAGGTTATGGTCAACACATCTCTCTGTTTCGCGTTTTTAACTCACATGACTGTAACACAGTGTGTGTTATTTAAACACACACATTATTATGTCATCAAAACCATATTTTTGCCAAATGCAATCGTGTGTTTTGTTGTTTTTATTTTTGCAAACCATGTGTCAAATAAATAATGCTGCCATGTTTTTGGTCGCAGCTTTTTTTATCTGCATGTAGGCTCTGTAACCAGATTCATCTGCATGCTTTAGGCAGTAAGAGCATCAGAGATGTGCACACATTAGTGCCTCACATGTGGGGCAGATGTTTCAAGCCCTAATGAGCTCAGGGTTTCCCCCTTCTTCCATGTCAGCAGGAGTCGGTTCTACTCTGCCATGGTTTGTAAATTCATGATCATTTAAAATATTTTTCACACAATTGTAATAGATTTATTACTGTGAGCTCAGGAGTGTGAGTAAAACTAGCGGTCATATGGAGTTTTATTACAACCTCATGTCCTGGTTTGAATTTGTTAAACTCCATTATTCAGTATCCTGACATCTGTGCTCTGACCAAGCTTTTTTTTTTTATATCAGCTGTAGTTTTGCCAACAATTTCCTCTTTTTGATATGCAATTTGTGAGGAGAACCCTTTCCGTTCAGAATCATCTGGCAGGGATGTTGTGTGGAGCCAGATTCAAAGAAGCATTAACTGGCACAGATCTCATTTGGTATCAGCTTCAAAGCAGATACTTATTTTTTTTCTCTCTCTCTCTCTATGGCCAGCCACCAGCCTGCTGAAAATCCTTGGATGGTTTTGTGTTGTTTGAAGTTTAATCTTCTTGACTGGCGGCTCCAAATTAGTCCTACGTCTGTGAAGTGGCACTTGAGGGGGCACTGATGCTAGAGCAACGTGTTGTGTCATTTCTGCCTCATCCCAGTTTGGTAACAGTGTGGAGAGAAGTGTTGTGCCATGCAGAGTATCAAACAGGAGGAACGGAGAGCAGATGCCAGTTAAAAATCAAGGCAGTGTCCTCCTGTAAGAGGACCATGTGGGGTGCAATCTGTTATTCAGAAAATAAGGGGCGTCCATGCCAAGCCTGGCAGGGTTCTCTTCACAGTGACTGGTCTCCATCAAGTACTTGAAAGCGAGGGAAGTATGTGCCTTATATCAGGCTTAAAGTTTGAATGCATGATGAATCATTGAATTGTATTGGTATGCTAATATCTTAGCATAATACTTTTCATTTTGCACATTCACTAATAAATGCATTGATCCTCATCATCTTACCATCTGATACTTGGAATGCTGCATATTTGGCTTACAATGCATTTGAGCAACATCATCCTGGAAGCTGAGGAAACCATTATTTAATTCTCAATAAGGTTGTTGCAAAATTTTAAGAAGCACCCTTTTCATCAAACTGAATAATCATTTAGTTTCAACTCATCCCTTATTCTCGCTTTATACTCCCCATTTAGTGCAGGGAGCACATGAGATTTTGCTAGCAGTAAGCAGCTGGGGGTGAAATATCCATCCAACACATCCAGCAAATATTAAGTAGAATTCATGAAGAAATTAAAATATAATTTATTTTGATACACAACTATCTGCTAAGCCCTGTTAGCCTTCCTGTCCTTGTTTCTGCCTGTTTAAAACAGAATAATGTCCTTGAGTTCAACTATTAAAAAAGACATGTTTTTAACAAATCAGATTTCAACACTCACAACACAGTTTAGTTTTTTCAACACAGTTTAGTTTTTTATGTAACTCTTTTACAGGAAATGTAATCTCAATGCACTTTACAAGGAAAAAGTTAATTTAAAATAATCAAGTTCACTCTTCTAGTTCATTTATATAGAATGACTCAGATGAAACTATGCTTCATCAGTTTGTGACCACTTCTGAATGCAGTGTAGTCAAACTCAGGTGACCATCTAATGCCCAGGTTGCATAGGAGATTCAACAAACTGCATGCAATAATTTGACTTGAGTGGAATCTTCCTGAGCTCTATAGGCATGCTTTGCAAATCTGATTGGAAACAACCAAATAAAATAAAAGAGATTGGGATCACCAACATCAATGTTTCATAAAAGTGACATCATTTACAAAGTTGATTAAAAAAAACTGATATATGGCTGTACATTAATTTGTATTTCAGTTTTGGTTTTAATACAGTTATTTATCAGATAAAAGTTACTTCTAAGACACTTTAGCTTTGTGTATTTCATGAAGAACAAGTCTTGTGTTTCTGAGTGTTAGATAGATTCAGTAATAACCACAATAATTATGTTGTTTTTTTTTCCCATAAGAGTGTTTCAGCATTGAACAGTACTGCCAAACTGGAAAGCCAAGATTGTTGAGCCTGTGGTTTCAAATACTAGAACTGTGAGTATGGTAATTAAAGTTTTAACATAAATTACAACCACACACTCTGTGAAAATCATGGCCCTATTTTTATATAAAATCACCCTACAAAAGTTTTAATATTAGGTTTATCTTAAACACAATATACTAACAACTTTTTACTTACAGATGCTTTTAGTATGTCCTCATTTTTTATATTTCTGCTTAAGAAAAAGTCTGTCAACATCACTTTTCTCCTTCACCCAGGCTTTTATTTGCTATGCAAACAGATTTTTTTTAAACTCATGCATGAATCATTTTTCTTTAAGCAGACAAAGTCATTAAAAAAATAAAGAATAAGCTCTTCCTGTCTACTTAGAGATGAAAATACAAACACTGACATATTTCTGACTCATGCCGTCTAAATGTGGGGTTCACACCTGTCTAGCAACGTTACTTCAGACAGTTAAACACAGATCAGAGTGTTTCATTATCAGCACTGCTGTAGCAGATTTATATTCCTGATCCTCTTTTTTTCCCCTCTCATACCTGAAGGGAATCTCAAACCAAGCTGCCACTATGGAATTTAACACCAAATCCTGCAAGAATAAAATTATTAATTCAAAGAGAAATAAAAGAACCAAACATGTGGAACCTTCTGGAGAGTTTCACCTTCTTTGTTACCTTTTGGGCGTTGAATCAGAAAACAGTTCAGAAAACAAGGTAGTGGTTTAATGCTAAGCCTGTATGTTTTGTTCCTCCCTCGTGGCTCCTGCTCTGCCTTTCCTTCCCCTCAGCTAAAATTGGCCCAGCTCTTGGTGGCAGCTGCGAGGTTTGCCTGGGTGATCATTGTGTTTGAGACGGAGCCACAAGCGTGTAACAAAGCATGTTTATCACTGCAGGCCAGCGTACATAACCTGTTTTTTTATGGCTCATAGATTTAAATGGCCATACCCAAGATGTGCCATAGTTTAGATTTCTTTCTTGGGGGAGTTCAGTGGTTCATAATTGTGCTGCTGTGACCACACATGGTGCATTGTTAAGTCCTGTTCATCCTTCCTTCATTTACAGGGCTTTTTTTCTTGTGACTTCTAATGTCATTGAGGTTTGGTTAAGTATTTCTTGTGCTTTGAGGTCTTGAGATTTCATTTTGCAAAAGAATACTGTTTAATCCTGGCCTTCAGAAAATCTAAAATTGTTCAGCACTGCATCAATAAATAAAGGAAGCATATTTAGAGAAAAGGACGAAAACAAGAAGAATCCTTTACACCTATTTAAAGCTGTGCATCTAATTTGCACATAAAAGAAGCCCGATATTTATGTCTGCTTTAGTTGTTGTTTATTTTTTCTCCTCTGGGAACATAGAAGATAAATCTTCTCCCTGGTCTCAGATATAAAGTATTATCTGTTCTTTGATACAGCTGGCTTTACCGAGTATCTGGGTGAAAACATGTTTCACCTTAAAATCAAAACAATAAATGAGAATGAAAACCATCAACTGCAACAGAAATATGCCTTCTCTTTGTGTTTTCACTGAGGCAATGAAAGTTTTTAAATCTGTTTTTATATGCTCACCCTTGAAAATGCAGTAATAACTTCAAAATGGCAGGAGTGCTGCAGGAAAGTAAAGGTGTTTTTTTTTTTTTTCTGAAAGTCATCAGCAGTCAGTTTGAAAGTGTTTCTGTGATCTTACACTCCTTTTGATGCGAGAATGGCGCAGAGGACTTGGACGGGCCCCACAGCCCACACATGCATTGCTGACGTCAACTGCTGCGCCATCACACGTCTATGTAGCGACTATTGCTTCCAGTGCAGATATGAAGCCAAGTAGACAACAGATAAGAGTCTCCCTCTGTCCCTGCTCTCCACACATCACCTGCCAAAGAGGATGATATGGATCCGAATCATCATGAGCCTCCTACAGCAGCATTACTTCTGATGCTGTAAACAAGCTCTTGCAGGAAGAAAGTCATTAAACCGCCTCCCTGTTTTTGAAAAAACTGTCACAAACTCTGTGTTGTGGGCCACAGATACAAATTTAGATTGGGTCTGAACCGATTAATTTTAGAGCAATATAGATTGTTACTTTTTATCTATTCTGTTTTTGCTTAGATTTTGTAGTTTCCACCCAGAAAATAGGTGTTCACAGCAATGATAACTGGGTTTTCTGCATGGAGTTTGCATGTTCTTCCTGTGCATGCTTGTGTTTTCTCTGGGTGCTCCGGCTTCCTCCCAGAAACATGTATGTTAGGTTATTGGATTCTCTAAATTCTCCTTAGGTGTGAGTGTGTCTGTGAATTAGGGATGGAACGGTTTATGAAAACCATCCGAACCGTTCGGTTGGACTGTCTCGGTTCGGTTCGCGTGTGTTGCGTTCGGTTCATGCGCTGCTCCCTTTTCTAATAGGCGAAGCGTGTACACTCCAGAGCAGAAGGTGGCGGTACTGAGACCAAAGCCAACCACCAGTAGTAATTGTGTCGGTATGGCGAGTAGGAAAGAACAGGAGTTGGAAGGCGCGCCAGCAGCACTTTATAGGTCTGCTGTATGGGACCACTTTGCATTTAGAGTGACCTACGATGACGGCGGAAAGAAATTTGTGGATAAAAACAGTGTGCAAGCATTGTGCAACACGTTTTGTTTATGCTAACAGCAACATGACCAACATGTCATGCTAACCC